GGTTGGAACAAGATGGACTTTAAGGTCACTTCCTACCCAAATCGTTCCATATGATTATTAAAATGACAATTGTCCCAGACCAGGACAGTTTGTGCTAACACACCTCTATCAACATAGCCCCCCCCTCACCTGGGATCCTCCAGGAGCAGCAGGGATGGGGCAGCCAAGCCTACAGCATGAGCTGAGGGACGCAGCCGGGATTAAATATGCTCCTGGGCATGGAGGAGACCACAGGTGGGGCCACTTGGGACTGATGAGGTCCATCAGAGCCCTCAAGGATGAGCCCAGATGGGGGTGGCTGTTCCCCCATGTTCACACCCACCTGTTCTCCTTGGCCAGGACTGATTTCATATCACAAAATCATGGAATGTTTTGGGTTGGAAGGGACCTTCAAGACCATCTCGTTCCAACAGCCCTGACATGGGCAGGGGACACCTTCCACTAGACCAGGTTGCTCCAAGCCCCATCCAACCCAGCCTTGAACATTTCCAGGGATGGGGCAGCCACAACTAGAAACAGGACAAATGATCAGTTTGGGGCAATTTTGGGCGTGGGAGACCTCTTTATGGGAAAATCAGATTTTTCTGTGCATGACATTTTGCAATTGAGTCCCCCCCTTAACCCTCTGCTGTTGGTTCTGGGTTTGACCCTCCCCTGCTCTCTGTACCACTGGGGGTTGACCCACAAGGGGGGTTTGCTCCAAAGGGAAGGGAAAATCCTCCCTGCACCCCAGGTCACGGTCAGAAGAAAACTCCAGCACCCTGATTTAACAGAACCAAGATCTTTATTGATCTCACTGTAACAGCAACCACTGGCAAGAGCTTTTCTCCTCCCAAACACCTGCTTTGAAGAGACGGTAAAAAACAGCAAAAATCCCAAATTGATCCCCTGACTAGCAGAGGAATGCCCCGGCAAGGTCAGGCACTCCCTCCCTGCTCTTCAGCCCCAAGCCTGATTACAGAAGAGAACCGGGAGAAAGGCACTGGGATGGGGAATGGAGACAAAAGGAGGTTGGGAAATGGGGCATTTAGGAAAAAAAAAAAAAAAAGGAAGTGTTTTCCCTCTGGCTCCTGTCCATAAGTTACGTTGTCCTTGGATATTGTCTAATCGTTTTTGGCTTGGAGAGCAGGTTTCCCAAAACAAGCAGCTGTGCCGAGGGCGCCGGGTCCCTGCATCCATGGTGGCCGTCCCCGCTCCACGAAGGATGTCCTCGCCCCCTGCCCCTGCCACTCCCTCGATCCGAGGGCCTAACCGACCTCCTAGGATCTTCGCTTTAAGGAAAATATATTTATTTATATATAATATATATATTTGTGTGTGTCTTATCACCACCCACCCACACGCGTATACGTATTTCCACTTGCACTCACTCACTCGCGCGCCTACGACGGCCGGGCTACGTGTTCACCTTGCGCTTCCCGGGCCAGGGAAAAGGATGGGAAAGATGTCCCAATTCCCCTGGGTTGTGCTTTTGGATTCCTCCCCCCCCTAAAATGAGCAGCAGCCCCACCCTCAGGAGAAAAGTTGGAAGATGGGAGCTCGCAACCAGCCACCGCGCCGACCCGCGCCAAACACGCCTAGAGAAATAAATTACGGGATGGAAAGTGCACGAAGCCTGTGGGATGTTCCTGTCCCCGGCATGCAGAGCCACGGATCCCCCAGGGCTGGGTACCGAGGTGGGGGGTGACCCCGGCAAGGGAGGGAGGATGGATGGAGCAGGCACTCAGGTGGGGGCTGATAAAATGGCACTTGAGAAGGTTGCGGAGCTGGTGATAGCTCCCAGCAGGCAGGGAAAATCAAAATGGGGGGCTGGTGGGATTGGGGGTGCACAGCAGAGCCCCACCATGCACTGCTTCACCCAGCACTGCTCATCAAGGAGAGGGAGGAGGAAAAATAAATCCCATCTCTGGGGGAAGATGGGGTTCAAGATGCCAGGCACGGGATGGCCACGACGTGCCAGGCTGGCAAAGCCGCCGGCGGCAGGGAGGTTAACATGGAAATCCTTTATCCACGGCAGAATGATGGAGTGGGAGGGAAGTCCCATCCCAAAGAGCAAGTAGAGGACGGCACCGATGCCAGCACCCTACAAATGGAGCAACCCCTCCCTGTGGTGCCTCACCAGCGAGCCCCCGAATCCCCGGGGACACCCAGTGATTCCTGAGACATCCAACGGTGCTAAGGGATCTCCCTCCTGCACTATTCACATTTTAAAGGGCCGGGGGGGTTAAAAAAAAAAAAAAGAGCACTACAAAGCACTTTCCCAGAGGCACTCATCCCCAGCCCGGAAAAAGAGTTGTTGGGGGTAAAGTGCCCCTTTTTAGTACCAAAAAAATAAAAGCAAGGGGTTTTTCTAACATATGGCTGTGTCACTGTGAGTCCTGGCTGGTGGGCTGGGGACACAGCTCCTGGTTGAAGGGCCAAGATGGAAGAAATCCAGGCAGGAGAGATGTGGGCACACTGGCCAATGCCACTGGGACTGTGTCGGACCCCCGGAGCACCAAGGGGAATGGGCTGCCGAAGTTGTCCTCTGTTGAATGCCAGCACATCCTGGAGGGGCTCAAAAAATACCCTCCTCGGGGTGCAAGCAGGCGCGTGGTTTTAGGAGTGAGGTTTCCTCCTCCTCCCAAGAGGCTGCCCAAATTTTCCGGGAGAAGGGGGCAAAGGGAATGACGCAGCTCCGGCAAGCTGACGGCAGTGGGAGGTCTGGGATAGCAGGAGGGGGTTTTTGAGGGGGTACGAGGCAGCACAAGAGGCAAAGGGATGTTTCAGAAAGAAGCCCGGTGGAGATCAGGCTGTTGGTGGGTGGAGGAGGAGGAACAGGGCCGGATCCAGAAGGGATGCTCCATCCGGCACATGCTGGGACTGGTCACCCACAAAGGGGGACAAGACAGAGCTGCAATCCCCAAAAAAAGGGGGGAGGTGGGCGGGGAGGGGGACGCTGGTGGGGACCCACTGCCACCTCCGCCTCGCTGGGACAGATCCTGCTAAGCCGAATGGGGGGTGCACAGGTCTGGGGAGTCGCTGCCTCTCCGTGGTTCCTGCTCAGATATCCATCTCGAACTGAGCGTCGTCCCCTGGCAAGATGCAAGGAGAGACTCATTAGGGGGTCACCCCCCGCACCCCAAATCTCCCCAGCCCACCCCGGGGGGTCCCTTACCCATGGATGGCTTCCCCTCCTGGTGGTTCAGACTGTTGCTGTCCTCTTTGGGCTCCTCGCCGGCCTCACCAGGGCTGGTGACGCCGGGAATGTTGGGGAGGTGACAAGGCGGGGTCTTGGCCATGGGGGAGTTGCGGCGGTCCAGCAGGAACTTGCGGTCGTAGATGATCCGGGTGCCTGGAGGGGGGAAGCGAGAGGAGAGTGGGAGAATCTGGTTCGTCAGCGCTTGTTTGCAGAAGGAGTTTCCCGGTGGGACGGGCGTCCCAGCCGAGGCTCTCCGCCAAGACCGGCGGGGAGGGCAGGGGGGTGCGCGCTGCCGCTCTGCTCGCTCTTATCTGGGCACGACACGCGATAATTCCACGCTGGACAAACAGCCCCGGCGGCAGCTGGGTCCCGGCTGTCCCGGCCACTGGCAAACTCGTGGCAGGGCTGGGCACGCGTCCCGGGGATGCCGATGGATGTGGCGCCCCGAAACGCCCCGTGTCCCCCTCCCCTGGACAGGGACGAGGGATGTGACGATAGGGCCGAGCCCCCGTCCCACCGGGGCCTCTCGCCGCCCCGTCGGGGATCCAGCTCCCGCCCCGCCGGGACCCTCCGCGCCCCGGGAAAATAATAAACCCACCTCCGAGCGCGCTGCTTTACGGAGAGCGAGCGGCAGGCGCTGCCTGCAGACGGCACCCGGAGGGGGCACAGGCGCGATACGCCCGCGCTGGGCGCGACACGCGGCGCCCGGAGCGGACGGGCGGGCTGCTCCGCAGGCCCCGGGGCGGGCGCGGCGCTTTTACCTCCCGGCGTGGTGGAGAAGAGCGTCCCGCCGGGGGTGGTGCAGTAGTCGGCGGGCAGCTGCGCGGCGTCGCTGAGGGTGACGGTGCGGGTGGGGATGGCCCGGCTCTGGCTGGGCTGGCGGCCGCCGGCGGACGACATGGCCCCGCTCCGGCCCCGCGCTTTGTCCCCGCGGAGGCGGCGCGGCCCGAGCGGCACCGCCCCCCCCGCACCGCCCCGCGCGCCGCCGGCAGGGGGCAGGAGCGAGGCCGCGCCGCCAGCAGCCGGCGCTCCCACGTGGTCTAGCGGTGAGGATTCCTGGTTTTCACCCAGGCGGCCCGGGTTCGACTCCCGGCGTGGGAAAGGCGGCGCGCTATTTTTTTTTTGGGGGGGGGAGGAGGAAGGGGGGGTCTTGCCCATCCCATCCTGTCCGCGGTTCCTTCTGCCGAAATGTTTTGGCAAGGCCGAGCTGAGCGAAGGTGGTGGGAAAGGGGACGGGATCCCCATATTCCAAACCAGGGAGTGGGATTCATCCCCATATTCCAAACCAGGAAAACGGCATGGATCCCCGCATCCTCTACCAGGAAAGGGGACGCATCCTCATGTCCCATACCAGGAAAGGGGATGCATCCAAATATCCCAGACCCGGAAAGAG